TCATTTATGTTTATATGATATAAGTGTACTGCTCGCAGTATAACGAATAAATAGTCATTAACGAAACAAGGACAAATCGACCTTTTAAAATAAATTATTATACGACACAATTTTGATTTTAGACATGCTACTTCATGTTAGTTTAGATCAATCAGTAGTTTTCTTATATTTAGCAGTTTGAACAATGATATGTATTGATACACTAAAATCTATTTACATTCTTTTGTTGAATTAATCTTCGTTTTTATTATAAATGAGTAAACTCTTAATGTAAATTAGTTTCTGTGACCAATCAGAAGATAACACTTCAATGCTTTCGAATTGTAGATATCTTTCCTAGAAACAACTTTTATAACACAAAACCAATCTTTTTTTTTTCACTAGAGTATTACCAAAATTTGATAAGACATCAATCGTGTCTGTCATCAAATCGTCATAGAACTCATTTGAATAGAAAGAAAACAAAATTATTTCAATAATTTTGTTCGGCTAGAGATTACCTAGCCATATTCGAGGTTTTCTCTTGTACAATGTACATTCATCACGAAGAAAAAAACAACATAAACGCTTCCAGTGAGACTCACCTGTATAAGAAAAAATGATGTAAATGAATATCAACTTTCGTCTTCTAGTATATTTTTATATGTTTTATTTTTTTTCTCTCTCTAATTACCGAATAACGACGCATACCATCAACCTATTTGTAATTTATTTTGTGTGTTCTATGATTGTATCTTATTTTTTATTAACAACAAAATATCATCAATTGACTCAAGGACGTTCTAGAAGTTGGAAAAAACCCACTTTTTCACTTATATTTTACAATTCGAAAGATATTTCAGTCATTATTTTCTCTTTGTTAGAATATTTAGAGCAAAGTCAAATGATAATTTGCTATGGGAAGAATAATTGACTCATGACTTTTTTTTTTGAATTTATCGAAATATTATTAAAAACTCAATTCATACGCAAAATAAAATTCTTTTAAATGAAGATCATAACAATATATTAGTCTTTTTACCTTCGAGAACTTCGTGAATAATTGTAGAATAATATTGAGAATTGTTTTATCAAAAAAATTAAACACTAATTTAAAGAATAACGATCATCATCAGATTGAGTGTGAGTGTGTAGAACATGAATGTGTGTAAGAATCTTACAGAATCGATGATCTACACTCGCACTTACATTCAGACAACATCATCTTCAGTCATACCCACATTTCTCAACTACGCCTGCATATTCACAAGGTTTATAGGTAACGGTTCTATTTTCTTGTTATTTTAAAACTAATATAATGATCAACTTAACACATATTTCTAAGTATTCAACAACACTTATTTCCTGTAGACTGTTTTCAAAAAATAATGAAATTTAAATAATAATAAATATACGAACAGACAATGTCAATAATATAAAATAAAGAATAAACAAACTTTATATTATTTTTTTCGATATCAAATTCACATGATTGTAAAAAAGCAACACATGGTCGTTTATGATAAGAAACGAAAAGAAAAAAAAACTTGTCAATACAGTCCTTATGAGAAACTAAATTGTACAATTCACAAACTCTAACTGCTATAAATTGATGGCATATTATCAGAAGGATTAACATAATTCATTTTAAAAAAATACCAAATAAATGGCTGTGAATGTAGCTATGAGTATAGTCGTTCTATTTGCATACACCCACACCCTTCTTGAAATATACGGAGATATTCAAGATCGAATTCCTAGACTATTTTGGTTATTTTTTTAACTAACTGAAAAAGGTTTAGTCAGATCGGAGAATGTCGATTAATTACTCAACTACGATAGCAGACTTATTAGGAGCTCTTTGGAAACTACCTGTTCATTGTTTTTTTTTAGTCATTTTGAGTCTTTTCTCCTTCCTTGGATTGTAAGTGGTCATCTTAGAACTTCCTCTCTGATCATATGATCTCGAGCTGCTCGTTCATCTCTTCCTTCAATAATCTTTTTTAACGTAAAAATATTCAGAATTTTGCGAAATATCTCAAAATTCTCTAAGTCGATGCATTTCTTGAGTGGACTTGGTAATTCAAGGGGAAAAAAGTGGATCTCGGATACAGCAATATTATGAAAATACGAAAGATACGACGGTGATACAGAGGGTGGCAGGATTTGCTTTTTCTCTTTGATGAAAAATGATGTTGTGAACTATACTGAAGAAGACAATTAGAAGTTTAATGATATCGCTCTATGAGCTAGTTTACATAAGCCATGGCTGAACTTGCTCTAAATCGAAGATATTAAACTTTGTTCGCTTTGAAATATGTTGTAGAGGAAAGAGTTTTAAGAATTTCGACAGAAACCGTTCAAAAAAAGGGAATCATCTGAAGTTCATATACTTATGATAAAAAACAAGTTTGATTGAGTGAAATATGGGTGAATTGATCAGTACTACGGAGTACACGATAAAATGATCATTTTTCGGTATTTTATGAATATATATATTTCATCAACAAATCATATTAGAGAGATAATATTTTGACTTTAGAGACATCTCATTGAGTACCTACTGTGATATAGAATACAGCTCTTTGAATAGTTCATATCGCTCAGCAAACGTTCCACAAAAATCATAATCTTGACCAAAATTCCCATTTTTGGAAGGAATTGCTCTTCCAGGATACCTGGTCAATAGAAGACAAATTGATATAGTTTTGAAGTACGCACTGAGCACTACAGAGAAGTTATGCAAGCATTGACGCGGAATCTCCTAGAATGATCTTAGGAGACTTATTGAAAGATACTCAAAAGTGATCCATGTTCCATAGAAAATATACTCGAATTCATTTTGAAATTAATAGGAAAGTTTCATCACGTGAAATAAATTCTATCCAATATAAATCAGCATATGATCTTCTATGGACTTCTATAAAAGAGTTCTTTGAAAATGACAAAGAAAATTTTTTTTTAAAGTTTTCGTAGAGAAGTACGTGGATTTCGAAAAAAATCTTCTTCACTGAAAGCCCTGGAAGGTGGTACGGGGATTTTTCAAACAAAAATTTTTACCATTTTCAAAGTATTTTTTTACAGAAGTTAATAGAGAATCACGCGCTGATTTGTACTGGAAAGAATTTGTTTCACATGATGAAACTTTTCTATTAATTTCAAAATGAACTCGAGTATATTTTCTATGAAAAATGGGTTACTTTTGAGTATCTTCCTATACGGTTCAACGGACCGTTCTACGCAATACCAAGCCAATTCTTGCATAGCTTTGTACTCATTTCTCTACGATAAGCATATCAACTCGATATGTGTGCACATTAAGCATTTCAAGTCAAAAGGATATATTTTCACTGGAATATGCCTGTCACAAAAGATGTGTTTTTTTGGCAATTTCGTTTTCAGATATATATAAATGCTTCGAAAATGGAACAATATTTTTTCGAACAGTTTGCGTCGAAATTCTTAAAACTCACTCTTTCCTTTACAATATTTTTTAAAGGGAACAAAGTCTAACAATTTCTGTTTAGAGCAAGTTCAGTTATGAGTTGTGTGTATTGGCTCGTATACCATTTGACTCGGGCGATGTTTCTGCATACACAGATTGAGCAAACGCTCAACGGATAGAATCATTGGGCACTAAGTAATTAATATCCTTATGTTTCTGAGCGTAAATCCATTATATCCCGTAAAGCAATGTATTTGGTGTCGAAAAAAAACATGACAAATCACATTGCAAACTCTTTGTAATCGATAAGAGTTCTTCATCAGCAATGGTCTGCCGTAGTCCTATTGTATTCATCATATACATTTTGCATCTTGTCGATTGTATGAAATTTTATCCTCAGTATCAGCAATGTATTCGCCATATCCTCTGTACCCTCACGATATTCGGGATCCGCTTTTCCCTCTGTGGATAATTACTTTAATATCGAATAGTTGTACACCACTAATATCTTTAGTAGCTCAAATATCTTGATAGAGATATCATCGTTTGAATTTCGTTGCACAATCAAATTTTTGATAAACTCGCATCAACGTGTTCTTCTCTACATATACTTTTATGTGACGCTCGAAATAGTGTCTGTCTCACCTAACTCTACAAAAATTGTCAAGCAAAAAGATTCTCTTAGTCTCATTTTTCAATCTTGTACGAGGTTTAGCTTTTTGCAATAGTCTCGCAAAATCTGGATAGAAAAAAAACAACTTTTGAATGGAAATGCGAAACTATTTCCTGGAAAATGATACGTTTTCTTTAAGTAATTATTAGATAGTGTTAATGATGTGATAACTTGTGCTAGCTGTATTCTCTTCTCTCTGTGATAATAAGTGATATATTATGAATGCCTCCATCCTTCCGAAACTATTCAATGAGATGATCTGCAAACAGTCCCTTAAAATGAATATTTTTCGATTTGCAATATCATTCGAAATAAAAAAATAACAGTAAATCTCATATGATAAAATAAATTGATCGATATATAGAATTGAAAATCATGATCATTCACTTTCATCAACTTATTTGTTATAACTATCAAATATTCGTTTAACAAAATCGAATATATCTTAATCAAATAACTAAATATTCTTTTCAATAAGAAAAACATACATACTCATATTGATCGAGATTCAAATGACATAGAAAAGTACTCTATACGTGCAAAAGCTGCCATTATACTTTCATATTATTTTTCTTTTTTTGTCATCTTAATTCATTCATATCAATTTAATTAAGATTTTCAATATGTTGTCTTATATGAATAGAAAATTTTTAATATGTTCGAGTGGAACTTTTATAATAATGACAACAGATGTGAATATCAATATAACAAAAAAAAAATATTTCATTTATTTTTAAGAATATTTTCTTAATGATAAATTTATTAGTTTCTTTCTTATAATACATTTCAAGTGGAACCCTTAAAACACAACAGCACTTTTCAGTATAAAATGTCAGTATTTTTTCTTATAACCAACATTTCAATATCATATTCATTTAGTTATCGTTTCTTATCATCTTCGTCATGTTGCACACTTATTATTATTTGGCTATTATAGCCATTATATTTTGTGTGCGTTCATCAGAAGCTATTGATTGTACATCAACATCATTTCAACAAGACTTAAATGCCGCAGAATTAGCTGCATCAAAAATACTTGCTGATGAATTTGGAGACTCAACAGCAGAACAAATTCAGGCTGAATTCGCTGAACAATTTGGTGAAGACGCTGACAGTATTAATGTTACAGTAACACAAGTTGGTGATACAATTACCATAGAATATCTACTTCTTTTTAATTGCGATCCACCACCAATTATATTACCTGATGGTACAGAACAAAAACAGGAAGCTAAAACTAAAGTTAATACAACTGATGTCGAAAACTGTTTTTCAGCAGGTTTGTAATAAAAATTAAATTTTTAATTTTAATAAATAAATATTTTTATTTGCCTATTCTAAGGTCTAACTGATCGAGCTAATCAAATATCACTTAAAAATGATCAAATTAAAGCAGGTGCAACTGATACAACATTGGAATTTAAAGCAGGTGGCCCCAAGTTTTTTGAATTTGTAATTGAAATACCATCCACATTATATACAAAAGCTATATCAGCTAGTTCACCTCAAACTGCAGAACAATTCCATAAAGTTCTTGCTACTTTTTTTCGTACTTCACTCATTGCTATTTATTCTAAAACCCTCCGCGACGTCAATTTTATTTCGGCTAAACTAAAATCTAATGGTCGATATGCCTTAACAAATCGAGTTTCTTTTACTGAAAATATAAACAACCAAAACTTGCGTACAGAAATTTCCTCGAATATTCAAAAAAGTTTTTATACAGCAATAAATAATTTCAAAATGTCCGCTAAAACAATACCAATTCCCGAAAAGGTACAAATTAGTGCACCAAAACCAGTACGTAAAAATACAAAGAAGACTGTTGTGAGTAAACTAACACAACTACTAAAATCCATAACATCAAATGCTAAAGAAACATCAGCTAAAGCATCTACAGGTAAATATAAGATGTATCTTTCACTTTTATATATTAATCATACCATATATGTTTAGCCACATCGCAGGATAAGACAAGTGATTCATCAAAAACGAAAACAACAGACACAAAAACAGGTGAGAAATCATTCTTTGCCAAATTTATTTCACAATAGAAATGGAATAGGTTCGACCAGTGGAAGTAATACAGGAATTATAGCTAACGCTGACTCAACCAAACAAGACACCAAAGCAGTTAAAACTTCAGGATCCTCAGTTGCTGCCACGTCGAACAATGACAAGCCAGCTTCAGCGAATGTACCTGCCACGTCGAACAATGACAAGCCAGCTTCAGCGAATGTTCCTGCCACGTCCAACAATGACAAGCCAGCTTCAGCGAATGTTCCTGCCTCGCCACAAGCTGACACACGTGCTGCTACTGGTACCGGTTCTCTCACCAATCAGAACACAAATGCAGCAAAGACGCAAACTGTAAGTTTGCAATAACTAATAAACGCGATATTTCTAGAATCTGACCTAAAACTCTAACTATATATTCTATTTTCTTCGACATTACAGAATGATGCTGATCGAGACACAAAAGCACAAAAGACAAAAACTGACACCAACCAACCATCCCAATCCGCAAACACTAATCAAGACAAGAATGCTGCCGGCCCAGTTAGTGGTGGCGCAGCAGCTGCTGTTTCCGATGGCAAGTCAGCCAAAACAGCTACAGCAGGTGGCGTTGCAGCTGCAGCACCTGCTGGAAAGCCAACTCAAGTATCTAAGGCAAGTGAGAGTGACGAGAAAACTGATGGAAAGCCAGCCAAAGTAATTAAAGCAAG